CCCCTGCTGGGACCTGTGGTATCAAACACAAGGCCGAATCCTGCCCACCATGCCATTTTCATGTGGCCCTTGCACCTCTTCTGCATCTGGGGCACCCCATTGCTCTCCACCCCCACCTTGTCTCAGCATTCCGCAGCTGAGTGGAGGACAGTACTAATCCGCCAGATTCTGCGCTTCTCTGTGCAGCTGTGGACAGGCTCATCTTTTGACCCCCCTCTCCCATCTCAGCAGTCGGCAGCAGAGAGGAGGACAGAACTCTGCCTACAGATCCTGCTCCTCTTTATGCAGCTGCAATGCAGCACTCCCTCATCTCCACCTCCCCTGGTCTCAGCATTCAGCAGACTCTGACAGCTTCCTCCAGCTCTCCTCTGGTCCTCCTTCAGACCCTGTACTTTCTGCTTCCCAGCTCTGCCCCCAGCTTCTTCCCAGCAGCATCACAAAGAAAAAAGGGTGCACTGTGATGGAACCAAGGGTGGGGGATTCTCGACTCCTGATGGTGATGGAGGGGGTGTGTGTGCTCTGGACATGTGCTTATAAATATTGTGAGAATAATACAGTTATTTGCCAGTTAAAAAGGAGGGTCATACACTGCTGGTATCAGCTGGAGATTGCTCAGATAAAACACCATGGCACAACCATGTTCTGTCTGAGCAGTCTCCAATAAAGCTTCTTGTGTATGATATCAGTGGTGTGCGACTCTACAGACTTGAATCATCTGCTACAGGAGTATGAGTGGGCTCCATGCAAGAGTCTTCAGGAGGGGAGGAGAAGAGGAGGGGTTTTCTGAGATAAATACACTCTCCTTTCTGCATGCCTGAGATAAAGGCAGATGAATTCCAGGAGGTAAATGCTACATGAATCATCTGCCCTTCCTTAAAGTGTTACTAAACCCCGGACCCTGCATTCACTATATCTGGTCTTCCACAGTACACAACATGGAAATGCAATTATTTTAGTAAATATAAACTGCTAAATACCTTTTCTCATCAGCAGTTAGAGCAGTCTTGTGACTTCTATCAGTGTCCAGCAGAGCACTGGTTAAAGCTGGTAGGAGGATGCAAAACCACTGACCTCTGTCTGGACAGTGCTGATTGGCCCTGTGCTGATCACATGGAAAAAAAAAACCTCTCTAGCAATACACAGTAAAATAAGCATGTGCAGAATGGCTACGGGTTCAGTCTGTCTTATCTGGAGATAAGATGTGGACATTCAAACAAGAGGAGGATCAGAAAAGTCAGGATCAAATGGCCTTTTTCTGCAATGCAGAGAATTAACCCCTTAGGTCCCACAGTGAGTATAACAAGCATGGTTTACTGCATATACAGACTGATCTTACTGTTGTGGGTTTAGTAACACTTTAAGAAGTCCACAGCCAGACATGCTAGGGGGTGTTTTTTTAATGTGATTTCTCAGCAAAATGAAGAATGGAGACATAGATGGATGGGGGAGTTTGCTTTGAATTTTAAAAAGGAATTAAACAGTGCTTTTGGTTTGTGGTTCTCAGATGCAGTGTAGTTCCCCTTTAATGCTGAATTTCAGGTATGGCTATTTTTGCATAGTTACATTGGGCCAGCTCTCGATCAATGTAGGTATGCATGTTTCATGTCTGGAAGAGCCCACTGGAAGGTGGAAATCTCTGTAATAGGCACTGCTACTCCTGTGATTTCCTCTGGCTTCTCAGGTCCCATTCTGAGCAGCTGTCCTGCTGCTTCGTGAACACGGGATCGCTCACTTCACCTGGGCACCATTCAGAGAACACTTTGCATTTACTCAATCAATGCAAAATGTTCTCTGATTGGAGGAGGTGGAGATTGTAACGTCAATACCCCGTATCTCCATTTTGTCCAATCACAGAATGCTTTGAATTCACAGATAAAATGCAGAATGTTCTCTGAATGGCGTTTGTGCGGAGTGAGTGAGCTCCTGTGTTCACAGCAGGACAGCCTCTTGGCACAGAACCAGGAATATCAGAAATCATTGCAGTAGCAGTGTCTACTACAGTGATTTCCAGCTTTCAGGGGGATCTTCCAGGTATGGCACATACTATATATACTTACATTAGTTCAAGCTGGACCAAGGTAACTATGCAAAAATAGCCAAACAGGAACTCGGCTTTAGAGAGTCAATCCACCCTAGACATATATTTCAGTTGTATGCTGGAGAGTTAAATCGCTTGAGAGTTTCTTATGCATTATAGGTTGTCTTTTGGTGAGATCTCTGTGCTGGATTCCTGGCCCTGAATAAAGACAAAGACAGTCGGCACTTCAGGATAAACAACCAGCATCTATACCAGGGGTGGGCAAACTTTTTGACTTGAGGGCCGCAATGGGTTCATATATTGGACCCGGGGGCCGGACCAAGAGTAGATATAGTAATTCATCCCCCATAGTCATCCCCCAAGTAATTCATCCCCCATAGTAATTCATCCCCCATAGTAATTCATCCCCCATATAGTAATTCATCCCCCATATAGTAATTCATCCCCCATAGTAATTCATCCCCCATAGTAATTCATCCCCCCATATAGTAATTCCCCCATATAGTAATTCATCCCCCCTATAGTAATTCATCCCCCCATAGTAATTCATTCCCCATATTTCCCATGTGTCAATTTACTTACCTTTGCTCCGCGCGTTCCTCTCACCGTGTTCCCGCGCCGTTCCGGTCTTCAGGGCGGACTGTGAGAGGAGCCTAGCTCCCCTCACGTTCGTCACGCTGCCCCGCCTACACACATCCTGACAGCCATCCTGACAGTATCACGCTCCGCGGGCCGGATTAAAAGGTCCGCCAGGCCGTATACGGCCCGCGGGCCGTAGTTTGCTCATTGCTGGTCTATACCTTTAATAAATAAACATGTACAAGGCTAAAACGGCCAACGTGTTTCAGACAATTAGTCCTTAATCATGGCTATGACTCAGGACTAACTGTCCGAAACGTGTTGGTGGTATTAGCCTTGTACATGTTGATTTAATATAGGTATAGACGCTGGTTGTTTATCCTGACGTGCCGACCATCTTTGTCCTTATCGTGGATCTGTGGGGACATCAGCAGCCTCTGGGTCTGAGCACCAGGTGGAGCAATAATAGAGGGGCCTTCACATCTGTCATTCCTGGCATGAATACCCACTGTGCCCATCTTGAAGGGTGCCCACCATCCTTGTTGAATTTTTTTTATTTTGTAATATGGATAATGAAAGAGGAGGAGCTGGAACATTCAACAGTGAATATGAATAGACAAAACTCAAAGGTGAACAGAAAGAGGGTAAAGGCTTATGGCACCTCACTTTTGGTATATCCAAGATGTCATATAAGATGCCAAGATATATAAGATGCCAGGAGCTGACTCGGCCCATCAAGTGCCATCTATCAGCTAAAACATCAAGTTTGAGTGCACTGGGCCTGGATTGCATCTTCATGTCACTCAAAGTTTCCTGTGCAACCTGTCCCTGCAACTCGTGCAGCATTTCTATACAGTTCTTGCTTCCTGTAGAATGGACAGAGGTGGCACAGGGACATGAATAATATTCTCCTGACTATTTGGAATGGAGAGAGTCCATTAAAGAAATTGGTACTGGATAAGAAAGATGGTAACCTACTACATGTCTCCATGCAGGTGGGTTGTGAACTGATGATGATGAGTTTATCTTTAGAAATGTCACTAAGGTCCCTTTCACACAGGCGTTCCATATGTCCGTTTTTCATCTGCCCGTTTAGAGATGATAAGCAGACCCCCATGTATTTCTATGGACTTGTGGATGTAAACGGATGAAAATGAACATCTTTTTACATCCATTAATGTTGGCATCTGTTAACATCCGTTTCTTTGAACAGAAGAAAACCCTATTTTTTTTTGCCGCAAAAAAACCCAGAACGGACGAAAAGCGGATGTTAACAGATGTAAACAGATGTAAACGGACCAAAACTGATGTAAACGGACCAAAAACGGATGTAAACGGATGAAAAATGGATGAGAAAACAGATGAAAAAATGGATGTAAATGGATGAAAAAACAGATGAAAAAATGGATGTAAATGGATGAAAAAACAGATGAAAAAATGGATGTAAAAATGGATGTAAACTCATCCGTTTTTTCTTTGAAAAAACGTGACTGAACTGAAGAAAAAAAAAACAGAACGCCTAGGGAAAGGACCATAAAGGCAACATTTTTTAACCGTTTTGGATAGAGTGGAGAGGGATTAGAACACCTGTCAGGTTTTTTTGTCCCCGTTAGGGAAATTCACCCTCTCACTCTGTCTTGTTTACAGTTATTGTCAAAAGTGAAAGTAAAAGAAAATTCAACATTTTGGGTTGACATCAAGACAGTAATAAAGGGGGAAATCTTCCAATGGAAACACTAGTTCTAGTGACACCCCAGGATTTTCACAATTTGGAAGGATTTCCTCCCACTTCCTGTTTTGGCAATAGGGCAGGAAGTGAAGAGAAATCTCCACAATGGGAGACAGATGGCAAAACAAAAACTCACAGGGGTTATAACCCTCCCTTACTCTATCCAAAGTGAAAAAAAAAGTTTTGCCTTTAGTGACACTTACACTTTGAGATTGATTTACTAAAGCCGAGGAGTGCAAAATCCGGTGCCGTTCTGCACAGAAACCGATCAGATTCCAGGTATTATTGGCAAAGCTTAATTGAACAAGCTGAAGTTGGCATTGGATTGGCTACCATGCACAGCTGCTCCAGATTTTGCACTCTCCAGTTTTAGAAAATCAACCACCTTGTTGTAATGTGCATGCCTTATTGACCTATAGAGAAGTTGTATATCCACATTGCAGGGGGATGTTCTACATCTCTGACTTAGATTTAAAAATTTTTTTAAAAATCAAATTTCGTCGTGAATTTATGCCAAAATGTATTCTGCTACGTCTTTGCTAAAAAAAAAATCGCAATACATGTCAATTAATTGGTTTATGTGAAAGTTATAGCGTTTACAAATGGCAGTATAGATACTGGAATTTTTTTTTCTACTAGTAATGGCGGCGATCAGCGATTTATAGCAGGACTGTGGTGGACATTCTGACACTGGGGGAAATGACTTGGTTTCATTGACATCCCCAGTGACACCAATACAGTGATCAGTGCTGAAAAAAAGCACTGACACTGTACTAATGGCACTGGGCAGGAACGGGTTAACATGAGGGGCGATCAAAGGTTTAACTGTGTGCAGGGAGTATTATACTAGGGGGCGGTGTCTGTGTGCTTCACTGTAATCACACTGCTCTGGATGGCTGTGCTGTGCATAATGGTTATAATGTTATAATGGTCGAAACAATACTGAAGCGTACTGCTCCGCAACAGTTGCCTCATACAACTTACGACTACCCTGACAACACGCTGCGCCTCTCTTGTTTTTCCCTCTCTAGTACAGTTTGTGAATTTAGAGCAATATAAAGGCGAAAATTGTCATTCAGAATATAAGAATTTCTTAGAATATTAATTTTGTTTTATTATTCATAAAACATGCAAATAATGTCCAAATTTTAATCAGGACCACCAAACTTTTCTCGCGGACCATTGGTTGGCAACTGCTGCTACAAAGTATTGACTCAGGGGGGGCTGAATACAAATGTATGTCACGCTTTTCAGATATTTATTTGTAAAAAATGTTTAAAACCATTTATCATTTTCCTTCCACTTCACAATTATGTGCCACCTTGTGTTGGTCTATCACATCAAATCCCAATAAAACACATTTACGTTTTTGGTTGTAATATGACAAAATGTGGAAAATTTCAAGGGGTATGAATACTTTTTCAAGGCACTGTACTTGTGTCCTTAAAATATATCTATGCAAGTAAGTTGAATTTAATCAAACCATCCTGATACTGCTAGACTTAACCTGACCATTTAGGTACAAATGTCTTCTGGTCAGGAAAGGGTTAAAATAAAACGCACCAATGAATGCAGGTATGCATTAGTTTAAAAAAAATGACAGCCAGTGTAAGTATGTGATTTTGACTTGGTATCAGTCTCTTTTATTCCCATGTAAAGAATAACTCAGACAAGGAAAAGCAGAGGCAGCACTAGGTGGCAATCAGGAGCAGGGGCGGGCTGACCATTTGGAAACTCGGGCACTGCCCGAGGGCCCGGGGTCAGTAGGGGGCCCCATGAGATGCCCCTGGTACCTTTTTCATAGGCTTTTTTGAGTTTGGGCAAGGACACAGGGGCCCCATGATCCCATATTGCCCGGGGGCCCCATGAGTTGTCAGTCCGCCCCTGATCAGGAGTGCTACATGCAGTTGTACTGACCAGGAACATCACTGTCCAATCACAGAGCGGGGCATCAAGGAGATCTAATTTTCTGGTTTAACAGGCACAAAGAATAGTCAGATCATCAGCCTATACATTCTTGCTGGATTATGTATATCTCAGGACTTCATTAAAGTGGAGTTCCAGCCATTTTTGTGTTTATTAAAAGTCAGCAGCTGCAAAAACTGTAGCTGCTGACATTTAATAAACACACACTTACCTGTCCCGGGGTCCAGCATGTTCTCACCCACGCCATCCCTTTTCCCCTTCTCTTCTCCATGGCGCTGGCATCTCAACTGTGGGCACCTAATTGGACCGGCAGTCTCCTGGGACCTGTGAAAATTCCCAGGAGAGTGCGGAAGGGAGGAAGGGGCTAAACTTCCAGATCACTTTGCCGCAGCAAACTGTCCGTTTTTCAGGTGGACACGACTGAACCGTCTATATTCTTCTATTGTAGTAGCAATTTTGGAAAAACCAGGGAACTCCAGACATGGACTTGAGGAAAACAAGTTATTTATTAAAACAGGGTTGAGTGACCCAGCCAGGCTCATGCTTGCAAAGCCAAGTAACTTGTATCTACTTCTTACAAGCGTATATACCAATGATTAAATCACAATGCATATTTATCCTCTTTCACTTTCTGTACATTCAAAAGTCTTTCTAAATTGCAGAATGTAACCTTGAATAGCAGCTCCAGATAAGGGTACTAGCTACAGACTGGTATCCATTACTCACAGGAAATAAGGGAGGGGGAAAGTGAACTGAAAACTTTGCTTTGCAAGCAGATCCTATTAACAATATTAAAGTTTAAAAGGGAACTCTGCCATATCTGGGTGCTGCCACACTATGGATAGTCATATATAAATGTCCGTTTACACCTGGCTACCTCTGACCCGGCAAAAACAAACAAACCTGATCTGCATGCTTGATCCAAGTCAGAAGACTCTGAATGCAGTGAATCCAGAGGTCAGTATAACAGTTGTATATTTTCTCAGGACAGATTTAAGGCTTTTTCACATGGGCATAAAAAAAACGCTGCGTTTAAATGCATATTTTCTGCATAAAAGAAAGATCCTGCGTACATTACATGCCTCAAGTACTCGCGTTTATTCACATTTTTATGCGTTTATGTGCGTATATGTGTCAAATCGGCAGATCTATCCATGGAAAATCTGCAGCTGCATCCTACTTTCCTTGTGTGCGAATAAACACAGCACGCATTTTTATGTAGTTGATTACTATAGTGCTGTGTTTAGGTGTATACAAAACTATTTGCTGTACGCATTTAAATGCGGCTTTTTTATGTCCATGTGAATGAGCCCCAAGTCTTAGGTCTCCTTTACATAGATGGACGAAACCATAAAAACAGGAGGTTGAGCAATTGTTTTACTCCTCCAACTGCCGCGTGGTAAGTTAGTATGGCCAATAAACATCATACCACCTGTTGTGTTTGGCAGGAAATGCCACCAAACATTTAATTGCATGAGACCACACCGCATTCACTCTGCAACAGCATGTAACGCACTTGGTGCTTTCAATGGCTAACACAGGTGGTGAGCCGCTTTTCAAATGCCTCCAAAAGTGGCCCACGGTGGATCGCTTTTCAGAGGGGCTGCAAACAATGCTGCATGTCTAAACAAGGCCTTACTACAGTATATGACAGGTTTACTTTGAGTTTTACCCTGCAAATTTCTGCTTCTCTCCGTGCAATTTTTTGTGTGGTGTTGTAGATCATCAGCAGCCACCATCTCACTATTTCCAGGTCAAAGAGCAAAATGTTATTAAGCATTACAATACAGCAGTAATATTATGTAGCAACCCTCTAGTTAGCCAAGGAGAGTTAGAGGCTGGATAGCAGCTTGGGATGAGTCAGCCTGGAATGAGTCAGCCAGGTAACTTTAGGTCAGGGCTGAGGGCTCTGCAGGTCAGTTCCCTGATACCGTCACCTGCTCTGGAAGCTTGAGAAGTCTCTAGAAGGCAGTGGGTGGGGGTGAGGAGGGGCTGATCTGCATACTCAGTGGACTCTGACCAATCCCCAAGCAGGAGGCTTGGCATGAGGTCAGGGTGGCTCTTAAAGTGTTACTAAACCCACAACAGTAAAATCAGTCTGTATATGCAGTAGCGCATGCTTGTTATACTCACTGTGGAACCTAAGGGGTTAATCCTCTGCAATGTTTAAAAATGCTGTTTGATCCTGACTTCTCTGATCCTTCCCTTCTTCCAATGTCCCCCTCCTATCTCCTGATAAGACATGTGTGGAGTCACTCTGCACATGCTCAGCTTGGTGTGTATTGCTAGAGAGGTTTTTTTTTTTTTTTTCTTGGGAGAGTGCATGTGATCAGCACAAGGCCAATCAGCGTTGTCTAGACAGAGGTCAGAGATTTTGCATCCTCCTAGAGCAAAATGAGAACTCCTCCTACAAGCTTTAACCAGTGCTCTGCTGAACACTGATAGAAGTCACAAGACTGCTCTAACTGCTGATGAGAAAAGGTATTTAGCAGTTTATATTTACTAAAATAATTGCATTTCCATGTTGTGTATACTGTGGGAGACCAAATATAGTGAATACAGGGTCCCGGGGTTTAGTAACACTTTAAGTATGGGAGAGCCTGATCAGGAAATGTTCAGTGTTGGGTGGAAGATGATGTGAGGAGGATGGAGTGTGGAGCCTGGGAGGAGGTCCAGGGAGGGGGCACCTGCAGGAAAGATCTTGGAAGGAGGATCGCTTATCCTCAACTGTCCCCTAAGAGGTGACAGCCTGGGAAGCAGGGAACTAGCCAGCCCAACGTAAGGCCTGAAGGCAGCCACCAACCCACATGCTTAGAGGACTGAGAGAGTAATCCCACACCCCCTGGGCCAGATAAGGGGAGAGGGCAGTCAGGTGGCAAATCTTCTCATCTGGGGCTGCTCTACTACAGTGGCAGTTTCTGGGTCCCCTTGCTCAGGAACTCCCTCAGGCAGCTGGGTGAAGAGGAGACTTCATCTGGGGTCTGATGAGGTACACCAGAACAACTGGAGAGCTCTTCAAGGAAAGACTGTTTGTCTAATGGACTTGTATATGCTTGCTAAGGAGATTTGTCTTCATGTTCAAAGTTCCTTGGGCATCCCATACACCCCTCAATCCCATCCAAGATCAATACCTCTTAATAAAACTAAAAAAAACAAGCCGAAGGACTATTTACTGTCTCCAGTGTGCAAGTGTTGAAGAAAATGGGTGTTGCCTGGCTGTGCAATACTATAGGGGGACCCAAAATTCTGCAACTCCTAAAGGGGTTGTGCTACAATTATACTAAGTAAATATCAAACAGGAACAACCAGCGGTTTATTTTAAGTTTGAGGTCCTTGAAGGTGAAGACAAAGAATCCCTTGGGCCAGGGCAGGGATTTCACTGTAAGTACGCAGTACATCCCGTTGTAGTCATAAATGTAAAGGGAAGCACCGTAAAAAACATCAGCTCATTGTAAGCTCATCAATGTATTTTTTTAATAAAAATCCTACCCATTTTATAGTGTGTAATTATATTTGCACATGGGGACAGACATATTTTTATTACATACACAGGTTCTATCTCCTACTTTGCAGTGCTACACAATAGCTTTGTTTTACTGCTCTCACTGTAAGCCCATGGGCCCCATCTATAAGACAGAGGTATGTCCTTTCCATGACCATACTGCTGCAAAAAAAAAATAATTAGGAATTACGAGTCAGACAGCCCATTGAAAACAATGCACTCCCTGTGTGGCTGGTCTCTTTAAGTCAGTGGTTGTTAAGAAAGGAGATAGAATGAGGTTTATTCAGAACCAGAGCTCCCTCTAGTGGCTAAAATTCAAATTTTTATTACACTAACAAAATGCACAAAAATGCAAGTCACATCAAAGCGGGAACACTGCAATACCAACTCATAATTTATTCACTTGAAAATATTATAGATACTGTATATTGCTGTTAGCTTTAGTGAGTTATAAGATAAA